TCTGGTATGAAGTGTACTTCAGAAATCAGCCGGAAGCATTTGTGTTTAGAGACGGACATTTCAGTGTTCTATACGTAAGCAGTGTATCAATATAAAAATAGTCGATTCCAGTCTTACAAGCTCAAAATCAAACTGTTTTACCCAGTCAACCGATAATGGATTTGTTTAGGTTTTTTAAACTCTCATTGTGGACACGTGTCTATTGACAATGAACGTTAAGATATATTTACTCTAGAAATCGCGGATATATTTCAACCATATTAGTCATGACTTATGTCCATAAACCGCAGATTTGACATGTGTCACTCATTACTAAATTGTAACTTTCTTTCACACTTAGGACGCGACAATAAATGTGTCGTTTTCTTCATAAGGGATTTCTGAGAGAAAATCGCAAAAATAAAAAACACAGTAACTTCCTCCTTTCAAATCGCCAACAATATCCCCCTATACGTCATTATCATATTAGAAAGATATTTGAGAGTGGAATTACAAAAATATTGTCCAAAATTGGATGTCAGTCAATTTTCAAAATTGTTAAGCAATGTTGAGCTCTTAAATAAAAATGAAATTTGATATTATCGTTTTTTATCTGGTATCGTTATATAACATTTTCACGAAAGGAGGGTCGGTTTGAAAAGATGATCGCCCCGAATATAACGATGATTGTACATTACTCACTTCTAAGTTACTTTCTAAGGTCTAACTTTTCATATATATCATTACCGGAACACAATTTTAAAAAAATCGAAATTTTGATCACTCGACATTCACGCGTCCTTAAACTGACTTCCTTGGCAACTTTTGTTTTAAAATCTTCTCATCAAAAAGCGTGTCTTCATCAACTGTAGTCAGTACCGATCGATACCATTGTATTGATCGATGGCACGTGCATTAACCCTGATTGAATTTCCGATTAATACACGTAAGTAATGTATTATTAAATGTATCGTGTATATATCTTACCAATATTCTTCTTCCTGTTTACAGGTTTTCGGTGTGAGAAAGTCCTTACTTATCTTACATTTACAAGTAATGGACTTTACCTAGTATTAGCAGAGACGTATATAACACATATATATGTCTCTAGTATTAGCAGAGACGTATATAACACATATATATATGTCTCTAGTATTATATAACATATATATATATGCAGAGAGAGACGTATATAACACATATATATATGTCTCTTGTATTAGCAGAGACGTATATAACACACATATATATGTCTCTAGTATTAGCAGAGACGTATATAACACATATATATATGTCTCTAGTATTAGCAGAGACGTATATAACACATATATATGTCTCTTGTATTAGCAGAGACGTATATAACACACATATATATGTCTCTAGTATTAGCAGAGACGTATATAACACACATATATATGTCTCTAGTATTAGCAGAGACGTATATAACACACATATATATGTCTCTAGTATTAGCAGAGACGTATATAACACACATATATATGTCTCTAGTATTAGCAGAGACGTATATAACACACATATATATGTCTCTAGTATTAGCAGAGACGTATATAACACATATATATGTCTCTAGTATTAGCAGAGACGTATATAACACATATATATGTCTCTAGTATTAGCAGAGACGTATATAACACATATATATATGTCTCTAGTATTAGCAGAGACGTATATAACACACATATATATGTCTCTTGTATTAGCAGAGACGTATATAACACACATATATATGTCTCTAGTATTAGCAGAAGAATGACTGACGCTTATTTGTTTACACTGATACAAAATACACACAACTTATATCTGTTCCCTTGATGAGGAAAATTTAAATACAGTTAGACTGTTTCACATTTAATTTATAGCTATAAACTTATTTAACAACACTTGCGGACATGTTATTTTAACTTATCCGAAAACCTCCTGTTGGCACGGATGTCCACGCGCTAGGCATCTCATCAGTGTCAGATATCCGATGTCTTACTGTGGATGAAAACCGGAGTACCTGTAAAATCCCACGTGGTCAGACAGGTAACCCCTACCTTTTCAGGTCCGTTCGAGAAATCGAAACCCGCGGACCCTGGACGTCTTGGTGAAAGGCGAGTACGTTACCACTGCGCCACTCGACCATCCAAAGGAAATTTTTCTGCATCTTTGACAATTTCAATAATTCACAGAGTAGCCCATACCATTCAATTGTGTATTGTGTGTTATTCAGGAGCTAATGGTTAACTCGACGCTCTACCGTGGGAGGAAGACTGTAGGTTTTATCAGGAGAGTGACTTCTGCATGCAAGCTACACAATTATTTATGTTGTTCACACTGGCATGCAGACATAACCGGCTGGTAATTAGGGGGTCAAATAGATCGCTGAACTTTTCTGGCAGAAGTACCTTGTGCTGCACTAAACATAGGCCGGAAGTAACGCGAAGGGCTAATATAGGTATTTTACTGTACTGGTAACATTTTGTTCCTTTCCCGAATACCCCTGTCGTCCCGAAAAAGTTCTGAGAATGCATATCCGATATCATTTTTCCACTGAAATTTAAGAAAAGACAATTTCATTATAATATTTACTATCACTGCATTGGTTGATGATACTGTAAACCCTAGCTTAAAGATCATATAAAAATAAAAACACCTAACAATAACGACCACCTCAAAGTAACGACCTCCTCAAAGTAACGACCACCTCAAAGTAACGACCTCCTCACAATAACGACCACCTCAAAGTTACGACCTCCTCAAAGTAACGACCACCTCAAAGTAACGACCTCCTCAAAGTAACGACCTCCTCAAAGTAACGACCACCTCAAAGTAACGACCTCCTCAAAGTAACGACCACCTCAAAGTAACGACCTCCTCAAAGTAACGACCTCCTCAAAGTAACGACCACCTCAAAGTAACGACCTCCTCAAAGTAACGACCTCCTCAAAGTAACGACCGCCTCAATAAAAAGACCATCTCAAAATTAAAACCACTTGATGTCCTCCCGTAAAAATCCCCTATAAGTCAATACGCTTCACTATTCAGACAACCTCACAATTAAGGCGAATTTTAAACAGTCCAAGCGACCAGTTTTGCATCAATTATCGCCTCATTAATCAGACCTACAACAACCAGTTACTACACGTCACCAAGCTACAGATGTACTGGTGAGTATTCTATTGTGTACGGGTGTCATTTGTCAGCTGGCCTCTATGTGAAAATTAATGTAAGTTTATAAAACTTCAGTTCAGTGACAGAAGATATGGACAAATGTGTCTGTAGGCGAAGTCTGCCTGCTTTGCCATGCTCTCTATTCAGACCATCCCGCTTTAGGGGTATATATATATTTTAGCCTGGAACAGTCAGAACATTGTTTTATATTTGCTATACTAACCGCAATTTTTCAGTCTGGAATTTCATCGACTTTAATACATTAAGTATATATTGTTTATTGGTGTGAAGTTCACTATTAAAAAGAATGGCTATAGTACCCACTATTGGACGATCCTCAAGCTCGTGATTGCTGTAACACAATATCTATAAATAATCGTTCCGATCTTCCCTAAGGATGTTTCTGACCAAATATCATCAAAACACCTTAAATCTCAACAAAATGATTTTCAAGTTAATTCCCCCTTTAATTCCCCATTGAGGCCCTGTCCCTCGCACGACCCCTCTGTCCCTCTGCCCCTCGCATGACCCCTCTGGCCCTCTGCCCTTCTGTCCGAAAAGGCCAGATCCACTTCTACAGTAATGTAATTGTGCAAATAAGAGCTAATTACGTACACATTATACACATGATATGCATGTAAATACACGAAAGTGCAATTGACTGGCTGTCTTTTAGGTTCCGTATTGGTCGCAAGGGTTATTTTATAAGTGATAGTAATTAAATGTGATCGGCCATATGGATTATGTTATAGAGTAGCTAATGTCTATATTATGGCCTAACAGAAAGACGCCGTCGGGATAATAAGGCATTGTGACAGGACTGATTAAAACTCTGTCGATTATCATCCGCATGACAGCTGAAAACAGCCAGGAGAAGGTCATCAAAGTATGCCCCATGGGCCAGGTAGGTAAGATTGCAAACTTCCATTGTTTGTAGCTTATTTTTGTCACCTTTAAATTTGGCTTAAAGCATAAATCCTGTCCAGCGATTGCGCAAACCACAACACTGTTTGTAAGGATAGCTATTTCTACAGGGTATTGTAAGAGATAATCCTATTTTTTAATCACTGATCGTTTAATGTTAGTCGGTAAGACGAGAGGCCCGCCGCGGTCTATTTGTTGTAATGACCGTGTTGGTATAATATATGCAATATAGCTTGTCGGTGGCGATGGATTAGCGCATTAAGTACCAGGCGACAGGTCCAGTCCAGTCGACACTGATCAGTTAGTTACCCAGATTGGGAGGTCGGATTCGAGAGAACTGGATACTTCCCGCTGCAAAACAACTAATAACGGTAAGATTTTTTTCAAAAAATCTCAAAAGGAAAAGACTTTAACAATAGCATTAACTGATCACGATGCTCTTCCAAATAAGTCATTTTATTTTTAGACGGCATTCGACTTAAAATAGACTTTTCCAATGTATTTTTGGATATGAAACCCTGTGTGTACTGGTAAAGCGCATGGTTTGTCGTTGATAAGTGAACAGGCAATGTTTCGATCTAATTAACAAATATAGTAGCACGCATCCCCGCAAGAGAACTATAAAATATCCAGGGTTCCGTGTAACGGCGCCACACGCAACAGTCATTGTAGACGCTGCCTATTCACTAATACATCTTCTTAAACATTATAAGTAGTGAAACAAGTATTTGTTTTACAGCTGATGTCCAGACGGTGCTGTCCGCGAGTTCTAAAATCTGATTGAAAGGACGTTACATTGTGAATTAGTCTACAATACAAAACTGTCGTTCTAGGAAATGTACTAGTTTCTTGTGTCCCATGATGTGACGATAATTCCTGTTTGCTGGATTAAATTAAGTGTTAACGAGCTTCCACCCGTCACCATGACGGACCTGTGTTTGTTGTCGCCATTAAAGCGGAAGTTCATCGAGAACTGGATCCACGAGGTGACGAGGAGTTACGCGGACGGTTCTATCTGTCGGGTCGTTCTCAGCTCTATCGCCTACGACCCAGACGACAGAGAGGAGTGTGCTCGTCCAAATGACCACAGCCTACAAGACAAAATGATCCGCATATCGACAAACGATAAACACAAAAAACACGTGGATTATACAACAACCAACAACAATCGAGTGCAACAACTTCCGGCCGTAACATTTTCGTATGTTAATGCGGACAAGCATAAAAAACATGATAACAATGGCGTTTCTATGTTCGGATACGAAATGTACAACGACAAAAATAGGGACAAAAGCGATCAGCGAGATGATAACAAACGATTTATTATCGTCGACCCTCAGATGATTAACCCTTCCGGTCAGTCGTCAGTCATCCGGAAGTCCGTGACGAAACACCACGAGAACGAAACCCAACCGACTCGAGTAAACAGGGAATCTTCTTTCACATACAGGAAAGAGTCAAAGGAATTTTATGCCAAGTGTAAGCTTCATTCAAGTAACAGGAATGGTTTTGTGATATCTCGGTCTAACTTCCGGAATCAAGGTACGTGGAAAAATCACAGTTTTCTTGATTTGCCAATAAGATTTAGACATGATTCTCAAAAGGCCACGCGAGCTTCTCAACTGACACTTAACTCCAAAGAGTCATCCGCCATGCAGAAGACTGACGGAAATGGCAACTCGAGAAGGACTGAAAGTCACAACCCAAAAATGATAACAACAGCTGTATGGGCGTGGTGAAACCATATTAGTATGATAGCATGTGAGTTGACTCAATGACAGTCACGTGTAGTTTTTTGTGGTATGTCTGTCTTTTAGTGCCGTTCATTATCAAATGCCTGAATTTTTGTGACAGTGCGTGAAGGGATTTAGTAACAACACATGCTAAACGTATAATTAAAGACAAGAACATTGCGTTATATACCCTAGCATGCAACGAACATTTCAGTATTACGCTTGAGATATACAGTAATGCTTCAAAATCAGGAGTTCAAATCACATGTAGAAATTATTGAACTGACACTTTGTTTTATATACAAAGAGGTGTGAATAACAGGACGTACCATATATGCTGAACGTGTTTAGAGAATACATGGTTAATGTCTAAAAACATAAGCTGTATTTTGACGAGGATGAAGAAAGACACTTTTGTCTGTCTGTCCCAAACCGAAATACAGCTTATAATTTAAGACACTGGCCATGTATTTTATTTATCCTGCAACACAAATTAAAAATCAGACCATCAAAACTTCAACAGTTTTGTTGAGAAATCTTTGTTTACCTGACATTGACGTTACGCTGAATTTTGTCTGAAGATGGACGCTCCGCACACAAATATATATTCAAAGTTCATCGGATATAACAGCGATTTTATGAATTTTCATGAATCAATTTATTCCCTACAACATGTAAAATCGCTTATTTCAACAACTATTCATATTTCTGAAGGCCATATTAAAGTAAATTTTGTCGAATTACCGCACGTGCTGAAGTACAGATGTTTTCCGTAACTGCCGAATACAGCAAAACTATATGTGCAGGTGTATTCCGACAATGGCAATACTAGATGCAGGATAAAGATACTTAGTACAACGATGCCAATGTCTAGGATGGAGAGTGACACTTTCGGGTTCGTCTATTTCATCTAATTTCACATTGGTTCTCATCATATTTGTTGAATAAGGTTTTATGGGCAGCATTTTATTGTCATTTAGATGTTCTTCTAATCAAATCAGTTTGTATCGTATCGAAGAATAAAATATGTGTTAAAGAGCACCACGACTTTCTTATGATGACCGGTCAAGACCATCTCGCAAATCTCGTTCCCTGGACCTTACGGTCGACAGAGCGAGGAGCGACAACGCGAGGCGAGGGAATGAGATCGCGACGGTGATCTTAGTCTGATCTCGCTTCCCTGCCCGCTCTAAGGGACCAGGGAAAAAAGATCTCTACGGCGAGGGAAATTAGTCTGCTCTCGCTCCCTCGTCTGGCGTTGTCATTCCCTCGCTCTGACGACCTAAGGGACCAAGGAAAAAGATCTCTACGACGAGGGAAATTAGTCTGCTCTCGCTCCCTCGCCTGGCGTTGTCATTCCTCGCTCTGTCGACCTTAGTGTCCAGGGAGCAAGATCTCTATGACGAGGGAAATTAGTCTGATCTCGCCCCCTCATTCGGTTGACCTATAGGTCGAGGGAGCGATTGCGAGTTATATCTTGTAGTGTTGCTGTAGAGCAGTAGAGTTATGATTTAAATCTTTGATTTTAAAGCTATGACTTTAACCTAGTTGTCCTAGCTTGAATATGACCAGTTAATTAGACTCTGTATGTTTAATTAGCTTAGTGCTCGTATCACCAGTTATGATACATACTTTCATCCTGTTGTGATGAAGTAAAACACTTGTTGCGATGTCACCAATTATTACACTTTGATATCAATATAGAAATATTATCAACTATTGTAACTGCAGTGTTTCTGATTGGTGACTAACTTCAATCTTTCGAATGTTTCCTGTCATTTCGTTCTATTCACACGAAATCATTTTACGGGTGGTTTTCGGGTTTTTTTCTTCACACGTGTAGGTCTGTAGATCGATATAACCATATGGCGAGAATCTGTAGGATTTCACCCTTAAATTTCGTTGTATTTTTGTTGCTGCATACATGCACAATTTATTGGAATATTCATTTTAACTGTGTTCATTTGATATTTACGAGGAGATGTGTATTTGAGAATTCCATGCTGTTTGACGTACTACCAAATGAGGCGGTATTCCTTCTTGGGACAGGCCATCGTCACGTAATGAAACAGATAATTAGTATGGTCACGTTAAATACATTATGGTCTCATTAAAACAAATGATTAGAATATAGTTGGTTTTCAGTTCTGTGTGTCAAAGCATCCATACCTCAGCAGTTAGAAGTATAAAATATCTGTTTGTTGAGCTCCATGGACTCTTAATTGTTACATGTAAATTTCATGTGTCAAGTTCTATCTATATTAATGATTACCGACAAAGACACCCTTGCCAACACGTTGCTAATTTTACTTAATCTTGTATGTTAATCCATTCTTAAACTCACCCTTGTCAGCTATAGCGCTTACGACAGATACGTAACTGTATTGTAGGTAGGTAGGTAGGTATGTAGGTAATACCTAGAATTACACCTGCCTGTCGTAAGTAGGTATAATACAGTAGGATAAATTACTGTATCAATGACTTAAAGAAACCGACTTAAGTAGAATGGACCTGTAAACCTGATTACAACTGAATGTATATTTTGTATAGTATTAATTACTTTCTACCTGCCGTGAACGTCGTGTACAAGAACGCCGAGAGGTGTTAGTACATTCAGTAGGCGACAAGTTAGGGATATACATTATCTTAACTATCACGATTATCTCCCTTCCATCTATGTATATATCTGTAATGTTTGTTGATGTAACAATGGCCTTTTTGGAATAAATAATGTAACTTGGATTTCATATTCAACCACACAGTACTACATGTAAGATTTTAAAAAATTACAGTATAAATCCATTATTGATCAAATTTTAAACAATTCAATACACGGAGACCTGTAAGACAACAGGTGTTAATTTCCCTCTTACTTACAGTATCAGTAAAGAGTAGGGCTTTGGCAAATCGATTAATTAACTAATTGATTGATTAATTAATTACACCAACATGTTACTAATTTGATTCACAAACCTTCCATATCAGGCATTGCCCAAAGCTACACTTTCAGTACGTTAGGTATTTTTTTTTCACAGTAGCATACACAGATTTTATGTAATATCCGACGTTCCGAAGTAGTTCTCTTCCGCATATTAAGTGTCTGGATATAACCTTGCGGCTGATATTTATGGATGAGGAGCTGACGTTTTCGCTTCAGTTAAGTTATGCTTTGGATATCAGAGGGTTGGGAACTTGTATCAAAAACACCACTAACATCATGTGTGTAACCATATCATGGTTGTGTGTATATAATTGTTAGTTTACCGTCAGTATGTGTGTTACCATATCATGGTTGTGTGTATATAATTGTTAGTTTACCGTCAGTATGTGTGTTACCGTATCATGGTTATGTGTATATAATTGTTACTTTATCATCAGTATGTGTGTTACCATATCATGGTTGTGTGTATGTAATTGTTAGTTTACCATCAGTATGTGTGTTACCATATCATGGTTGTCTGTATATAATTGTTAGTTTACCGTCAGTATGTGTTACCATATCATGGTTGTGTGTATCTAATTGTTAGTTTACCGTCAGTATGTGTGTTACCATATCACGGTTGTGTATATATAATTGTTACTTTACCGTCAGTATGTGTTACCATATCATGGTTGTGTGTATATAATTGTTACTTTACCGTCAGTATGTGTTACCATATCATGGTTGTGTGTATATAATTGTTAGTTTACCGTCAGTATGTGTGTTACCATATCATGGTTGTGTGTATATAATTGTTACTTTACCATCAGTATGTGTGTTACCATATCACGGTTGTGTGTATATAATTGTGAGTTTACCATCAGTATGTGTGTTACCATATCATGGTTGTGTGTATATAATTGTGATTTTATTGTCAGTATTTGTGTTACCATATCATGATTGTGTGTATATAATTGTTAGTTTACCATCAGTATGTGTGTTACCATATCATGGTTGTGTGTAGATAATTGTTAGTTTACCGTCAGTATGTATTACCATATCATGATTGTGTGTATATAATTGTTAGTTTACAGTCAGTATGTGTGTTACCATATCACGGTTGTGTGTATATAATTGTTAGTTTACCATCAGTATGTGTGTTACCATATCATGGTTGTGTGTATATAAGTGTTAGTTTACCGTCAGTATGTGTTACCATATCATGGTTGTGTGTATATAATTGTTAGTTTACCGCCAGTTTGTGTGTTACCATATCATGTGTGTATATAATTGTTAGTTTACCGTCAGTATGTGTGTTACCATATCATGGTTGTGTGTATATAATTGTTAGTTTACCATCAGTATGTGTGTTACCATATCATGGTTGTGTGTATATAATTGTTAGTTTACCATCAGTATGTGTGTTACCATATCATGGTTGTGTGTATATAATTGTTAGTTTACCGTCAGTATGTGTGTTACCATATCATGGTTGTGTGTATATAATTGTTAGTTTACCATCAGTATGTGTGTTACCATATTATGGTTGTGTGTATATAAGTGTTAGTTTACCGTCAGTATGTGTTACCATATCATGGTTGTGTGTATATAATTGTTAGTTTACCGCCAGTTTGTGTGTTACCATATCATGTGTGTATATAATTGTTAGTTTACCGTCAGTATGTGTGTTATATAATTGTTAGTTTACCATATCATGGTTGTGTGTATATAATTGTTGTAGTTTACCATCAGTATGTGTGTTACCATATCATGGTTGTGTGTATATAATTGTTAGTTTACCATCAGTATGTGTGTTACCATATCATGGTTGTGTGTATATAATTGTTAGTTTACCGTCAGTATGTGTGTTACCATATCATGGTTGTGTGTATATAATTGTTAGTTTACCATCAGTATGTGTGTTACCATATCATGGTTGTGTGTATATAATTGTTAGTTTACCGTCAATATGTATTACCATATCATGGTTGTGTGTATATAATTGTTAGTTTACCGTCAGTATGTGTTACCATATCATGGTTATATATAAGTGTTAAACTTTCTGTAACCAAATAGAAGAGGTCAA